AATGTCCATTTTCTAGTTACAACTATTCACTTTGCAATCTTTCGTTGATAATAACATCACTTTCTTCAACCAGCAAAGGTGAACATAGAAACGGACAAAATGGTTTCAGAGTATCGCTAATGACACCCGTCGCACGCAGAGGAAATAAAACATACCCGGAAAGCGACGGTCAATGGAGCAGCTACTCAGGATTCTTCACTGTGCTTATCCACGATATAGAAAAATCCACCTTTGCGGGACACTGGACTTGCGCATGTGAACCCCGGCCTTGATGAGTTATCATGCGATCAGGACCATTCACAGAGGACTATTTCTAAGTTAGTAGTGAATAACTTGGCTTGGTTAACAGGCAGCAAACTAAAAAAAATAATGGATTTTTCCCGAGACTCAACAAAGTGATTCAAACTTGTATATGTAAATCACTTCGCGGTTTAACGCGTTTACTGTCTCATGCAACCCTGAACTAAATCTATTTTTGCGAGATAATTGCGGACGAAAAGTTCAATTTCCGAACGGTTTCTACGTGAAAACAAAATTAGTTCTTAAAGGGTTACCTACACGATATTGGGTTTGAGGATTTCCCGTGGGCGCAAGTGGTAACTGGTTGAATTAACCAANCTACACACACATCACAAAACGGTCCGATGAGGATAGAACATAGAAAAAACGAAAGAGAAGTATTCAGTTCATCTTTCTGCTCAGTTGTATTCGGGTTTTACTTTTTACATAAACCATGACTAATGATGATTTCTAGTAAGGTGGAAATAGCGAACCTATTATTCCATAGTGTTGTTTCCCCACAAGTACTACACCGACTATATGCATACGGAGGAAACTGCATTTACAATTGTCACGTGCGCCGGGAAAAAAGTACCTAACCCGGTAGGTTCCGTTCATCAGCTGTGATAATACCACAGCGGCATCACTAAAGCAACCAGAGAAAAATGGGAGTACATCGAAACCCCTGTGCAACCTAATCGGGCATTGCATTCTCGCTGTCCAGTTGATATGTTAGCCTGCTTCCGAAAAACGCAGACTTCTGGACCGAATCAATCCTTATCGATCAGGTCTGTGAATAAATGATAAATAAATAATGATTGAACTGTTACATGACGTTATTGAGAACGTGAAGGAACCACTGAGTGCATGACTGCAATTAGATTATTCTTTTCTTCTATATAAGGTCAAATGAGAATTATAGAATCCGGTATTGAGGACCATTATAGATTCTCCTGATTTACAAAATCAAATTAAGAATTAAGCAATTCCACTTTGCCCTTGTGCTCTGCATTGCAATCAGCGTCGCGAACTTCGTCAAATGCCTGCCGTATGATTCAACATTTTGCAAATATTGGGCATTTCTATCCTTCGAAACAAGTTCTGCATAAATACTCAGCGTCAGCTTATTATTTTATTAGTTTTTCTCGGAACTTCGATAACTATACCCACACTTTCAGCAGACGGTTACACTCATAACGCGTTTATTCCTCGTACGTGTGATTAAATGCAGTTTGGTAGCGAAACGATATACGACTGGTGAATCAAGTTAGCACACTGATTTGAGCGATTGATTGATTTACTTCAAACGAATCAATAACAATGACTACCTCAGTGGACATGATGCTGTTACATGTTGGCCAGTTCGTCAAACCGAGTCCAAACCTCGCTTGCCACTAAAATATGCCCATTGGATAAATGTATACTCATTTTATTTTGAGTTAGGATTTATCAGTCGTGAGTGCCAACTGGAATCCAAACCGGGCCACGAGAACCTATTGGGTTACCCTAACTGATTCTCATGAGCTTGCTACACGTCAACATCGCCTGATACGGCGCTAATTAGGTGCAGTTGTTGAAAGTACCTGAACCTCAGTAGACAATGCTGACATTTTGGATGCAGAACTGCTCAAGAGAGCCACCACTACGACAGAGCATGAAATCTGAGCCCTATAAAGAGTGCGTTTTGTCTGCAATTTGTTGGGTAATTTGATTTGTAAATTCAAGAGTACTGATCAAGCTCAGTCGATTCGTGATTTGCCATGATACTGGTACGATGACTGACTGAACAACCGAAAGTCAATAAACAAATCAGAAATGGAAATGTGCGATAATGAGAAAAATAGGCTGATATGCAGTACGTAGCTATAGCTCTCTGGTGCATGCCCAGATTTAATTGATTGAACTCATAAGCTCTGATCTACATATCCAATGGAAAGTTTCTTTCAATGGGACGATCTATAAGAAGAATCATAATTAAATGACCAACGAGCGTGCGATTCTTTCATCTTCTGCTCAGTGTTACTAGTATGGAATGATTAACCCAAATGTGTGATAGCACAGATTGTGCAAATGATGCTTTAAAAGCATTGAAATGCCTAAACATAAGGATTCTCAATATGCTAATGATGGGAATAGCGTTCTTGAGCATGATTATGGGATACTTCTTTACTCTACCGTGGTTGGAATCTGTGCTACAGTAGCTCGTGTATCCTATTTCGTAATATGAAACCTTGTCCAATGAATTGCAAGCATTTTAACAATTCATTCGATCGGTCACACGCAAGCGTTGTTCTATTCAGGTGGAAACCCCACCTTACCGATCGGAACTAGGGAAGAAAGCAAACCTAACAACGAAAAAACACAGGCATATCTGTTTCTGAGCCCACCTAAACACAAACATGGGATCTCGGTGAGAAAATGCAAACTCACGCACGCAAATGGTGATAAAACACAAACGGATCAGGCGTAAAACGTACACCATGCTGATAAGCTGCCAGACCAGATTGTGTGGGTAACTGGGCCTCTCCACCGGTCAATTCTTTGACTAATGTATTGTAACCACCCAGCAACCCGATTGCTGCAGCCATTTGTGGAGGAAATGCTGCAGTGGTTGGGTTTAGACTGGCAAAACCAGCGGGATGTGAAAACGACTGATGCTGGGTTTGTTGGTGTTGATGTTGCTGCTGTTGGCATTGGGGTTGGGATTGCGTACCGGCGGATTGTTGTTGAACTTGCTGCTGAGATGATTGTTGGCCCAGTTGAATAGCGGCCAGAGTCTAGNTGTATACAATCATTGGTTCACGATCATTTGTTGGTTATTTGTGGGTGGTGGTCAGATTACCATTCCGGTTGAAAAATGGACCAGTGATAAAAACAAGGTTGAAACAGAACAGGATATGAGGAAAAGAAATGCATTGCCGTCCGCACCCACACACACTCACATGAACGTGACCAAGTTCCATTACGTCGTCATTTAGAGAACTATATCGACCGGGCGACAATCATTGACTCACCCAGGGCAAATGGGCGGTTTAAACACTGCGGAAATGTGACTCATCTACACGTTCAGTAAACGAAGCGAATGATGAATAATAACCTTTTCTGACCTGCAAACTAACTAAACAGCACGTTTCTATCCNCCCCCCCCCCGCACCCAAACGTGGTCAGTCAGTGTCTGATATACAGTTCAGCATCAAAAGTATTCTTCCCTATGACTCATCTGCGTTCTTTATGGAGGTACGACCCGCAAAATGGATCACTAACTGAAACGATTTATTCAATAGCACTTCGGCAATAAAGTTGGCTAAGCGCTAATCTGGGTATTTCCCCAAAAGTGTACCTATCAGTCAGTCAACCGGGAATACCAATGGTAGATGGATAACAACAGAACAGTAAGCGTTGAAAAGCGTTTGAAGCAGATGGACGTTTTCACGAGCATATTCGTTTTGCGTCCGTACGCGTCTGTCTGTGCTCGACTCCCAGTGTAGTATGCCCGGTCAGTCGATTGCAAACCTACTTTAAAACCCGTGATTATTTTGCTGTTCGTTAGACGCTTGGAAAGTCCTTATCAAATTTCTATGAAATTAAAACGGAAAATTTCTGTAAGCAATTACATATATCATAATATATATTATTGGTCATCACCGAAGTTAGGGAGCATGCGTGAACCGAGGCAGGAATCATTTGAAATAGATGAATAAATTATGTGGTAACATGCAACGTATATGGGGAAGCGAAACAGAGTGATATAAAGATATATATATTCCCTCATTGAATTACCAAGAAAAGTTTAGTGATGGTGGCAATAGCGGCAGTATTACTATTATTAGTATTCGTATTAGTAGTTGTGGCGCTAGTACTGGCGGTGGTAGTGTTGGCAATAGTAGCATTCGTAGTAATAATAGTATAAGTGTTATTAGTAGTAGCGGTGATAGTCCAGCAATCAAGGTCCATTCACCTGTATTATACTCGATAGATAACGTGTTTAACAATGTCATTTAGCTTCTATTAGCTTATTACTCATGTTAGTCCAATGTAGTATGTGTCAGGCCACATCCCTCTCTCAGTTTGGTTTCAATTGTCTACTGACCATGCAACAGTTACGATTATAACGTTCAAAATTGTAAAAGGCGAGCGCGTTAGACTAGTTTGGGTAATCGAGAGATACAAAAGAAGAAGTGATCAAGATCCGATAGACAAACTGAGCATATTAATTTATGTGGTACCACAAACAAATATCAGCGCATAGACGGGGAATATGCAGACAGAAAAGTCACCGTCTGTGCTGTATAACAACCCGATTTTATTCTCGGATTTCTTTGCTTTTGTCCCACTAATCACTGACCACGTGATCTAGGAACTTGAAAAAAGTGCACAATGTGTTCCATTCATCGTCAGCGATTGAATGAATTTGGAATTGTGAACATCTATTTGGAATAGATGAATGAAAAGATAAAAGATGATTTTTGGGCAAAGTGAAGATGAGGTGCCAAATAATTGGATTCATTATGCATCTACCATTCCAATCTGAACACTGTTTGTCAGGTGGTATGAAGACGGCCAATTGAGATGTTCTGGTGGTTGAGATTAGCAACTAAAATCAAACAAATGGATGTCTACTTGAGATGATGTGCTGTTTGTTGTTACATAGGAATTCACAGTTGGCTTCCATAAACAATTCGAGTGGCTGACAAATTTACTGCTTTTCGTATTCGTCGAGTTCGTTTATTAACCGATACTGAGTAAACTTGAGAATAATTTTAATCATCTTTCTGTAGAAGTGCCATCCACTTGTTCAGACTATGTACTACTTTGAACCGGCTTAATTTAGTATGCGCGTGGTGTTTATCCCGGGTAGAAACATCGAAGGGACTAAGTAAAACCACAGAATCTTCGCAATAGGAAGTTGGAACAAGTACTTTCAAATTAAAACAACGAAGCTAGATCAGTTAGATGTTTTACAATGGGTAATCTCAGGTTTGTCATGAATACCCGAGTATCGGGTGTGGCTTGAGTCATCGATTTCACCAACCATTTCAGAGTGTGTTCCGTCATTCGTTGTGATGGTTAGTTCAACTTATGCATGCATTAGCACAAGTGGTTTACAATGTGAGATACAGCTAGCTGTAAAACAGGTGAACGAATGTCCTAATCAACTCCACGAATAGTAGCAATGAGCCAAAGTTGAGCAGATGGGGATGTATGGTTGAAAGCTGATTTCAAATTTTGACGCATGCCATTCTGAGGGTGATCACCTATGAAACTTAGCTTAGGATAGACAGTGCTTTCGGGGCACAGGTTGAGATAAGTTGCTATTTTGTGATTGTTTACTGTGTATCAGTGATACATTCCGGGTAACCGTTTCTTAGTAATATTTTCTTCAGGAGTTTGTAGTAGTGTATAGTAGTGTATATGGTGAAAAAATTTTCGGTTGGACTGCAAACAGTTTCTACAAGTCCGCGTTTCCAAGCCACGCGTGAGAAGATAGAAAACTGTAAGTAGTGATCGGTCCTTTTTGCTCTCCAGTAAGCAGAATGTAGTATTATGCATCTAAAATTTGCTTCACGG